TATGATGAAGTAAAGGTGCAAAATAAGGCAACAGAACAAACTCCTGTTACAAATGGTGAGTAGTCAAATGAAAAACATGAAAGCATTTCTTCTTTTTTCCCCACCTGGTTCTTTTGCCATCAGAATTGTTGTCTAAAGGCCAAGAAAGATGCCCAATGGATTCACTCTACCAAGTGGACCATCCCGGCCTTGCCATATTGGTCCATTTGAAAAGAAAGAAAAAGCGAAAGAAAAAGAGATTAATCAACTCAGGGTATTTATGTAATATTTTCAGTATAATGGATGTGAAGCCACACACTAATATTTTCACTTCCCATTTAAGCAACCTCCACCAAAGATTACAATGTGACCAAAAAAAGAAAAAAGATTTCAGAAGAATGTAATGAAGCATATTTAAAGGTTTTTAAGGCAGTTGATCCTTTCTTCCTCTTAGGCAATAGTTATAAGACAGGGGGAGAACATGGATTAAAGATACTGTAATGTTAAGTCCAAATAATGAAATAAGCATTAGAATGTCCTGTTATTTGATAACTTGTGATTACTAATTCATTTTTAAACCTTTCAGTTAAAAAGGAAGAAACAGTATATGATGAAGTAAAGGTGCAAAATAAGGCAACAGAACAAACTCCTGTCACAAATGGTGAGTAGTCAAATGAAAACCCATGCAACTGAAAACATTTCTTTTGCAATATTTTATTTAAATTTTTCAATATAGAAAACCCCATCAACAAACAAATAAATACAGCTCAGGTGCTAAGGCAGGGCAAGAAGACAAGAAATAGCACAGTAATAATAAAAACTACCAGTATCAAGAGTAAATCAAATATCATGCATTTGTAACAAACAGAGAAACCACAGCGCCATGACACATGTTCATATAACCAGGGCTTTCCCAAGGTAATTAAAAAACAGAGTCCAGGATTTTGAGAAAACATTTACTGCAGAAGTTTGTAGGTATCGAATATTTTCCATTTGTATGACTGATAGCATGTAATTGAGCCAGACATTGAAGGAGGGAGGAACATCAGACTTCCATTCCTTTAGGATAAGTCTTTTCGCAACCATCATTCCAAGATCGACTGGTACCCGCGTAGTTGCAGGAATAGTTCTGGAATGTATGCAACCAAAAACTGCAAGACGAAGATTCCGGAAGCTTTAGAGTACCAATCAAATAATCTTGACCAGAAATTAGTCAATGAGGGACAATGCCATAAAGCATGAGCCAGTATTCTATCTGATATTTTACATCTGTCACATATGGGGGAAGTTGAAGAATACATTTTGTGTAGTCGAACCTTGGAGTAGTGTAGCTGATGGACAACTTTAAATTGTATTAATTGATGTCTACTGTTAAAAGGGCAGGAATTAATTTTGGATAAGCACTTGTCCCACATTGATTCCAATATTTCTATACCCAGTTCATCCCTCCAAGCGTCTCTTATCCTCATAATCCACGCCTCAACACTGTCATCAAACAAATGTACAATTGTAGAAATCAGATGTTTGGAATAAGGAGGGCTCAGGAGCACATTAAAAAAGTTGTGTT